AAAGGCAACTTCGGAATTGGAGAAGATATTTGCAAATGATATACTTGGTAAAGGGTTAATATCCAAAATATACAAAGAACTTACAAAACTCAATACCTAAAAAACAAATAATCCAGTTTTAAGAAATACATAGTAGACATGAATAGACATTTTTTCAAAGACATACAGATGACTGACACAAGGAAAAGATGTTCAACATCAATTATCAGGGAAATACAAATCAAACCTATGAGATACCAGTTCACACCTGTCAGAATGGCTAAAATTAACACAGAAAACTAGATGTTTGAGAGGATGTGGAGAAAATAGAACCCTCTTACACTGGTGGTAGGAATGCACTGGTCCAGCCATTCTGGAAAACCACATGGAGGTTCCTCAAAAAGTTAAAAATAGAATTATCCCTATGACCCAACAATTGCACTACTAGGTATTTACCCAAAGGATAAAAAATACTGGTTCAAAGGGGCACATGCACCTTGATGTTTATAGCAGCATTACCTACAATAGCCAAATTATGAAAAGAACCCAAATGTCCATCGACTGATGGATAAAGAAGATGTGGGATATATACACATGATGGACTATTATTCAGCCATCAAAAGGAATGAAATCTCATCATTTGCAATGATGGGGATGGAGCTAGAATGTATTATTATAAGTGTATTATGCTAAGTGAAAGAAGTCAGAGAAAAGCAACTACCATATGATTTCACTCATGTGTAATTTAAGAAACAAAACAATGAACACAGGGGAAAGAAAAAAAATCGGTAAACCATAAAAGAGACTCTTACCTATAGAGAACAAAGTGAGGGTTGCTGAAGGGGAGGTGGAAGGGAGATGGGCTGAATAGGTGCCAGGTATTAAGGAAGGTACTTGTCACTGAGGGTACTTGTGACTGAGTGTGATTGAACACTGGGTGTTATATGTAAGTGACGAACCACTAAATTCTACTTCTGAAACTATTATTACATGATACATTAACAATCTGTAATTTAAATAAAAATATGAATCACTTAATAAAGACTATTAGGGCCAAGGAAACAAATACTTAAATTTTTGTAAATACTGGTAATACAATGGAGGCATATTTAAATTATGTTCTCATTTGTTAATAAAATTTTTTATTATTGTTGAAAACCAAAAAATGTGGAAAATAATAAAGGAATATACAGAAAGTTAAGGATTGTAGTAATTTTGTAAATAAAAACTGACAGTATAATTGTTAAAAAAAAAAAAAAAAAAAGGTTCCGGGGAGTTAAAAGTTATACATGGATTTTTTTTTTTTTTTTTTTTACCATATAAAATCCCTAATCCCCATATTGTTCAAGGGCCAAATTGGGGGACCTTGGTGACTCAGTAGGTTGAGCATCTGACTTCCACTCAGGTCATGATTTCGCAGTTCATGAGGTCAAGCCCCACATCGGACCCAATGCTATCAGCCTGCCAGCACAGAGCTTGCGGATCCTATGTCCCGGTCTCTCAGTCCCTCCCCCACTGTGCTCTCTCAAAATAAATATTTCTTAAAAAGGAGTCAAATGTATATGTAATGTGCCTGATGCCAACCCCAGCACTTAGTAATTCTTGGGTAAGTCTTAGTGCTCTACCACCTGTACCCAGTACTTCCACTGAGCCCAACCTAACTTGTGACAGAATGAACTTTCCTTAAAATTTTTCAGGGCAAGAAGGAAGTGGTTTACAACAGCCTTTTTTTTTTTTACCTTAAAGATTGTATTGCCAACATAATTAAGATGTGATCATTACAAAGCCTCCGGGTATGTACAAGGCCATTCTTTCGAATATGATATCGGATTCTGGTCTTAGATGAGAACTGACCACTCTAGAGGGAAGCTCAGTTACTCAACACTCTCAGCACTCTTAATATGGCCAAACAGTCACATGGACCCTGTCCTTAAGAGTCTGCAGAGTAGGTAAGCAAAGCATGAGCAATAGTCATGTGTAAATTAGTCTGACTTCCCAAATAGGCAGTAAACAAATCAAAGAGCTACAAATTATGTCACATATGTTTTGACATTTGCTACCAGCACCCACTTGCCAAAATTAAATGGAAAGAAACGTCTAAATATACACCAAGTAACTTTACAAGTTATAATTTTTCCATAATAAAAATTGACAGAAATAAAAAGCTGATGAAACAAAACTTATTCAGTCCAAAGACTAGCTATCCCCAACAATAAAAATATTATTTAGTTTATTTTTCTTTTGATCAATTTGAAAAACCAGAGAACTAGAATACAATGTCTCTATTATATATAAAAATGACTATTTTGGGGACACCTGGGTGGCTTGGGTCATCTCACAGGTTCATGAGTTTGAGCCCTGCAACAGGTTCTCTGCTATCAATGTAGAGACTGCTTCAGATCCTCTGTCTCCCTCTCTCTACCCCTCACCCTCCTCAAAAATAAACATTTAAGATAAATTTTAAAAAATGATTAAGTTGAACGGTCTTTTCTGTATCTTAAAAATCTACTGCCAGCAAATAAGCCTATAAGGCCCTCACTCCAAACTTAAGAGAATCAATACTAAAGCAGAGACACTAAATGACATAGAATCCACAATTCAATATAAGGTACATACTGAAATGAAAATGGTGAGTACTGTACATTAATTCAGAAGCATCACTAGAAAAGGTTATGATACTAAAATAAGTTATGATCCTGATCTAAGTCCTTACTTAATTTCTCTCAGTCTAGGCTTATTTTCTGTAAAACTGGGAAGCAGTTCTTCCTAAATTCCAAGGATGCTCTGAGAACCCATATTAATAGATCTCGGTACCATATTAAGTCCTCATACAACAAATCTGGACTACACCATAATGTCATTAAAAAAGCCTGTATAAACTACTGGGATTTTCAAAGGCACTCATTAAATCCTAACAATGAGAACTATTTCTCAGGTGCAGTCAATTTGATACTGCAGGTTAGCTGCAGTTGCTTAACTGACATTAAAAAAAAAATGATCATCTTCAAAATACAAAAATAAGCAAAAAAGAGTCTTTTAAAGCTGAGTGACAAATTCAGAGGCCTGTCACTGGTACTTATTTACAAGCACAGTTCAAATGATTCAAGTTAAATGTTAATCTCTGTTCAACTGTCATCTTCAAATAAACTAGGCTAGAACTCAGATCTTTCAAATCCCAAATGATTTCAGAATTCAAGTTGCCAAATTTCTGATACCTGCCCACATACATTTTATGGCTGGATTATGGAACTATCCTAGCCTGCTTAACGAGGCTCTTTCCAAAATTCTCCTCTATAAAAATACTATTGTCACCATTTAACTAATTTTTCATAAACTGGTGATTCTCCTGCCCCATCTACAAATGTCCCTCAGCTGCCGCCTTCTCACAAGTCACCATACACTAGTGGGGCAGCTGGCTCAGTTTATACTGCAGCCTGTGGCCAAATAAAGTGAAGCTAACTGGAACTGAACCAATGGTCATTTTGCAAGGACACTTGAACTTTGAAGCACTCTGTAAACTGCTGGTTATTTCTAATAATATTCCTGTGAAGTTTCAGAATTGAGCCACCCACTCTATTTCATTGTAAACTATATGCCACCTTAAAAACAAAAGTGCCAGATATGTCCTTGGTTTTTAAAAACTCACAAATCTAGTCCAATTCCTTTTAAGTGTAAACAACTCTTACCAATGGGGGCGGCCTCAACTTAAAACTAGGAGGCGCTCCTCAGAGCAGCTAACCTGGCACCAGTCATTTGGGGAAAACAGCTTTAGGTCCTAAAATCTTGCTTTTCAAGCTCAGCAAATCCAAACACTCATTTTACAAATGAGATTTTAAATTAAGAGTTTACGGTCTGATGACGGTAATAGCTAACTCTTCCACTGTACTAGGTACAAACAGTACACCTATTTACTCCTTTAATCCTCACAACAAACCAGAAAAGAGGGTGAGGTCAACAAATTTGCCCAAGGTCACAGCTATTAAGTGACAAAGCCAGAACTGAAATCCAAGCAGTCGAGCTCCAGAATCTATACTCTTAAACCACCGCGCTCTGTTGCTTCTCTATAGAATGGTTTAAATCAGCCGGGGTCTTCTAGGATTCAGAGTTCCAACCTGACAAACGAATTCTCCACACGTATCTTTCTTTCCCCAATGCCAACATCGCCCACCAACCGCAAGTGAACTGCAAACCTGTGTCTCTCAAACTTCCTCCTCTGTGTACAACCTTAAGTATCCAAAATAGGTGCCCTCTAGGAAATCAAAAGATGCAGTGGTCAATCAGAAAAGAACTCGTGTTTCTCGTTTTCGTTTTAATGGGAACATCAGAAATGCCTAAAATAATAAGTAAATAGCCTAGGAGTGCTTTTTCTGAAGAAAAAAAAAAAGCAAACATCTACCGTATTTTCAAGATGCCTAAGGTGATGAAACGGAGCTAAAAACAGGCACGGCCCTGTTTTTTTCTAGCTATCTCTAATACGAGAAGGGTGATCTACAGTTTATGCATCGGGATGTAGGTGAGAAATGAATGGGTGGAGGGAAAAAAGGGGGTAAGAAGGGGTATTACTCCAATTCTCCGAAGTAGTGAGGCTGAGACTTCGGACCCTACGTGTTGGAAGTGAAAAGCAGTGTTTCACACCGCTGCTGCGCTGGCCGGCTTCAGTGCCCCTCCAGGCTGCACGGAGGTGGTTACGTGGCGCTTGGAGGCATTTCCTCCAGCCTGAAGAGGCGGCGGCTTTCCTGGCTGGTGGAAGCCCCTCACTCACGGCAGCGCAGCAGGGGACGCCCCGGGGAGGCGGGAAATGGGACGTGACAGCTTCCCCGGGAAGCCAGAGCGGGCAACGTCAGGGGCGCCGTGCGCGGTGCCGCTGAGGGGCCGCGCCTGCCCCCCTCCCCCACCCCTCAGGACCACCCCCGTGAAACCCGCCTCCCGGCGTCGAGGGTCAGCAGCACGCTGGAGACGCGACAGGGACTCCTGAAGCAAAGGCTCCTAAGGGCGGACACGACCCTCAATGAGCTACTCACCAGGTTGAGGGGTCCTTCCATTACTTCCATAGACCCCGGGGTAAGCGGCGGCCTGTGGAAGGGGAGAGACGGCACCGGAGCACATGGAGGGAAATAGTAGTAAGAAGCGCGACCGAGCGGCGGCGGTGGCGGTAGCTGCCCCTCTCCGCGCCCCGGGAGCCAGCAGTGGGCGCAGAGGGAGCAACAACCGCACCACTTCCTCCTCCGGTGGCGCGCCGCGGGCCCGCCCCCTGCGCCGCGGCCACGCACGCGTCATGGCGTCACACGTGGCTGGTTCAAGGTGGGAGTGGGGACCAGGGAGTGGGTGGGGCTCAAGGGAGGCGGGGCCGGCCTAGCGTACACTCGCTCGCGAGCTATCTTTCCTCTCGCGAGAGGCGTATCTTCAGCTTCTTGAAGTCTTCTCTGACGTCACGCGGGGGTGGACAACCTTCTTGAAAATTGAGCAGAATGGCTGGGTGTTTCTCTTGACCTCTGAGGTTTTCTTCCAGCATGATTTTCCCCCTAAATTCTTCAGATTTCCACGCCTTCTCTTGCTCTCCGGTTCTCACTTTTATTCTTGTATCTGATTGATCTTTTTCAAAAATCAGATTTGAGGGGTGCCTGTGTGACTCAGTGCGTTAAGCCTGCGGCTCTGGCTCAGGTCATGACCTCACGGCTTGTGAGTTAGAGCCCCTTTCTGGGCTCTTTGCCGTCAGCACAGAGCCCGCTTTGTATTCTCTGTACCCTCTCCCGCCCCTCCCTCACTTGCTCTCTGAAATGTAAATAAACATTTAAAAAATTAAAAAAATAAAACAAAAATCAGATTTGAGCAACGCTAAGTCAGGCCTTGGACTAGAGAAACAAACCAATAATTAAGGGTTCTGCCCTCAACATGCTGGCAAACTAATAAAATAATATGGGTTAAAAATAGCGAAATATAATACTTGATTAAGGTAACACTTGTGTGCTAAACCACTATGCTAGGTTCTTTCTGTCAAGGAATTCACTGGCAAAAAAAATAGTTGTGATTTATGCTATAAAGGGAACAGATAGGGAACTGTGACAGAGGCACCATGAGCTGGACAGCTTCAAAGAAATGAATTTGACCAAGAGTCATGCGAGGTTGGAAGAGGGCCTGGAGCTCCAGTCGAGACCACAGCCCTGGCTTACACATTGATTGCAGCTTTGTGATATCCTGGGCAGAGGATTCATTGAAGCCATGCCCAGACTCCTGGCCCATGTGGAAATTGTGAGATAATGAATGTGTGTTGTTTTAAGCCAGTAAGTTTGAGACAATTTATTATATGGCAAAGAAACCTATTACAGACTCCTTCGGGGCAGTAAAATCCAGAGGCAGAACTTTCTTGATAAACTGTAAATGTGGGTAGTAAATCCATGTTACTGAACTAGTGACTAGTGGCTGTGCAGTGGACAGGTTTAATACCGATAAGGGAAACTTTAATGGCGGATGGACAAGGAAGGAGAGTATGATGTATTCAAGCACTCACCAGTGTTTGAGAGAAACTTCAGTCAAATCAGCAAAAGAGGCTATATGATGGATATACATGACCAAGTCATGAGACAGACATTGTATCCACCAGCCCTATTCTCTGCCACTTGCTCTCATGCTGTTGGCCTGACCAGCCATAGGCTATGGAGAGCACTGGGGACATGGCCATGTCATCAAAGGAAAGGTCGCAGGCCTGCAAAGACTTTAGAGCTATCCCAGCTGGGATTCCTTTGAAATTTGGGAAACAGCAGTTGTACCCGAAGCTTACCAATGGCTGTTTTCACTACTTCAGGTTTGTATCCCTTCAGACACATGGATGACTTCTTTGCCTATTGGGAAAAGCCCATTTATCTCCTGAGACCATCAGTGGAAGATTATAGAAATCCTCAGGCCCTCCTGGCTGGGAACATAGTGAACATGCCTGTTATTGAGTCAGAGATGAGAAGAGCTCAGCACTAGGTCTCTGCTGCAACTCAGCAAGACAGGACCAGAGGCTTTGGGGAGAACATTTAAAAGCTGCAAAGCTTTCTGCTTTCTATGGCTCACTTGGAAAATACATCTCATATTAAAGAATCCATTCCTAAATGGGCCACCACTGACAGACTTGCCATATTGGAGAGGTTCCAGAATTTACCACAAGACTCAATTTTAGATAATCCTTATATATCACCTGCTCTAATCTCATATCCATTTAAGCATCATGATAGTTCAATCTCTTCTTGAATGCTTACTACAATCAAAGCAGAGTGATGGAAGTTTTTAAAAATATTTTTTAAATGTTTATTTTTAAGAGAGAGAGTGTGCACACACATGAGTAGGAGGAGGAGAGAAAGAGAGACAGAGGATTTGAAGTGGGCTCTGTGCTGACAGCAGAAAGCCCGACACGGGGCTCGAAATCACGAGCCGTGAGATCATGACCTGAGCTGAAGTTGGAAGCTTAACCAGCTGAGCCACCCAGGTTGTGACCTGTTTTTAACAATTAGAGAATTCTTCCTTTGTTTGGACTGTAATTTGTCTTCCTGCAACTGCCATGCCCTAAGTTTGTATAAATCATTATAACATCTATGTGTGAACACATGCACAATCTGTTCCCTGCTATCAAAATGTAATACATGCATACCTTGATTCAGCAATTCCTACAGAAATGCTAGCACAGTTATTATAGAAAATAAAGGTATGTGAGGAGGTTCGCTGGGACTTTGTAATAATGCTTTCCTTAGTTTTGGAACAGTTCAAGTAAATCTGGAAGTCTCATTTGACAGAGATGCTGTAGAGGGCATTCCTGCATCTAGTAGGAGCTTGGATTGATGACCTCAAAAGTTTGTGTATTTATAAGCCTTTGGTGTGCTCATTTACAGGAAGAGAGGAGAGCAGACCCTTCTGGTCTCCTACTCCATCTTCTTCTCTACCTTTGTTGTTTCTCTCTGCTCAGCACAGGAACTCCGTAGAGAAGGGGATCAGGATAAGGTTAGTATCAGGAAGCTTCACATGGTCCTTGAGGTGCCTGGGGGCCCCTCTGATTATACCATGGCAAAGGGGATCCAATATGCCTCCCACACTTGCTCCGTTTATAGACTGCCCAGTGAATCCACAGTCTCTTCTGTAGTCAGGAACCTACAGGGCCCACCAAATGGGGCAGTAACGGGGGTGGCCGCAGAGGCAGCAACAGCGGTGCTGGGCACAAGGCAGCAACCAAGTCTGCAGGCCAAAGACAGAGTAACATAGCAATGTCAAGAGCAGCCAGCAAGGGCCCAGGACAGTGAGGAGCCAGCATGGTTACGGCAGAACCACTGACATGCCCTCCGTGGGTATTTAAGTGGTTGTGGCAGGTGCTTCTCAGATGTCCCCAAAAGGTGCTTCCAGACGTGATGGCAAGCCCCAACTGGATGGGCAATTGTTCTGTGTCCAAGCAGGGCGGTAAGTAGATGAGTGCTTACTGTTGTAATCTCCCTATTTTCCTATGTCTGAGGACACATAAGGTGACTTTAGAATCACTGACAGCCAGGTGGCAGTTGTTATGAAGTTGCATTGCCTTAGAAAAACTTCTTTAACCAGGGACATGCGACTCTTGATCATAGGGCTGCGAGTTCAAGCCCCACTCTGGGCATGGAATGTACTTTTAAAAAGGAAGAAGAAAAAGAAAACCTTTATGGGGCAAAGCCACCCTCTTTCACTCATATATAAAATCAAATTTTAAGTAACAGAAACAATGGCTAAATTTCAGAGAAAACCACTTTGCTGGCACAGTTAGCATGTAAGTGAATAACCCTCTTTCCTGTACTTACTTGGTATGAGGACTTATCTTCCTGCTTCGTCATTCCTGGATTTGAAAGGAGCCACCAAATCCTTCCCCTTTCCAAATTCATCATGAACAAAAGTAACTTTCAATGAAAATTAACTATAGTTTTAGATGCTTGTTTTTGAGACTGAGCTTGATGTTAAACAGACGGTAAACACTATCTTGCTTCAAGTTGATTCAAGGGCTTCTCCAAGATTTAATTTTCTTCTTTTTCCTAAAACCTTTTTTATCTCCATTTCTCAAGAGCAATGGGTTCAACTTTGTAGAACAGTTTATAGGGTTTCAAGTGCTTACTTGTACGGTTGCTCATTCAATTCCAGCAGGCTCAAATTAGTGACTTCCCCAATGTCGTAAAATTGGTAAGTAGCCGAACTAGGTCTGAAATCTAGGTCTGTCTGGCTACAAGCCCAGTACTCTTTCCGCTACAAGCAGCTGAATATCTACTGGATTGACATTGAATGTTGGTAATAGCAGAAATAGACTGTTAGGGTAACCCACTGTAATTACACAGGTTATTTTGGGTTTTCCTAAACTCTTAGTCCTGAGTACCAAGCCAGTCAAGCTAAAAAGGGAGTTTCTATTGTTAGTGGCTCTGTTCTCCTCCAGGGTATTTGCCAAGGACTATTCACAAATCAGACTGGGCAGGAACAGGCCATGTGAGGGAGGGGGAGGGTAGCTGTGAGGTAGCAGGCTCTAACTCCTGGACTCTGAGCCAAGCTGTCCAGTTGCTTCATCATGAGCCAGGATGAAGAGAGCCAAGTTAGGCAGGAGTCAGGCATTCTATTCAACAAAGTTCAACAGAGGGGAGGCCAAGGAAAGTAGAATTTCAGGGCAGGTTTCTTACCCAGTAAGCTGACACCTGGGAAAAGTCAGTCAAATAAAGGCAGAAAGGCAATGATTCAACCAACTCTGTATTAGGTTAGTGTTTGCCAAACAAGGGAGCAGAAGAGAACTCTCCAGAATCCCAAAATGTCCTTGGACTATGGATCTGCTGGTGCAACAGCAGCAGAGCTGCTTTGTTTCTATCTAGAAAAAAATTACTTCTGGGAGCGCCTGGGTGGCTCAGTCGGTTAAGCCTCTGACCTCAGCTCGGGTCATGATCTCATGGTTTGTGGGTTTGAGCCCTGTGTCAGGCTCTGTGCTGACAGCTCAGAGCCTGGAGCCTGCTTCAGATTCTGTGTCTCCCTCTCTACCCCTCCCCAACTAATGCTTTGTCTCTCAAAAATAAACATTAAAAAATTTTAAAAATTGGAAGATGATAGAATTTGGTTACTCTTAAATAAATATAGATGAGAGAAGACTTAGAAACCAAATGGTAGAGAAGAAATGATTGAAGTCATAAGGCAGAAGTTTAGATGATTTTCTTCCTCAAGTATCTAGGAGATATTTGCCTCCAGCTTCCTTTTAAAAAGTATTTTCTTAAATTGTCAAGATTC